AAACATGGGTGTTTTATGGGACAAAATGCAAAAATCGCATGACTTTTTAACATCAAATGTGAGGTTTGATCCTGACGTTGTCCATGCCTCCTCCCCAAGAGTGTTCTACACTGACCTTGCAGGCACCTCTCTAGTTATTCCATGGTGGGGTGGGGGAGGGGAGTGAAAATTCTAGGCACTGAAAGTTCCACTTCTATCCTTGGTTAGCTTCTCTCTGATTGGTTTGTTACCAAAGTAGATTTACTACTATTCAGTAAAATCCAACTTTCGTTCATTCAACCAATGTTTAGAAAGGGCCTAATAAGTGTCAGGCACTTGGCCAAGCGTTATGCCAACTAATGACATTGCCCTCTCTCCCAAAGAATTTGCAATTTACTAAAATAAACAACAGAGGCTGCCATTTATTGAAGGGCCACCACATGCAGGCTCCCTACCAGGCACCTCTATTTTTTTAATCTCATTTAGTCCTTCCAAGATTTCATGAAGTTAGGTTTATTGTCTCCATTTTACAAATGAAGTCTTATTGATGCTTAAGCAATTAGCCCGATGTCATGGGGACAAGAAGTGGTAGAGCTAGAATCCGAATGGATATGTATATGTTCCAAATCGATGCTTTTTCTTTTACACTGGAGATTGTATATGCATAGTAGTCAGGAATTCAGACTCTAGAAGCAGATAGACAAGTTTAAAATCCCAGCTCTGCCGCTTAATTACTAGGCAGTCTTATACAAATGTATCAGCCTTTCTAAGATTCTGTTTCCTCATTTGTAAAAGTAAGATATGATAATACTTATTTGATAGGGTTGTAGTGAGAATCTCAGAAATGTAGCTGGTATTTTAGAGTTAATATCTAGTCCTGGTCATACCTAGAGCCAGGTAAGCATAGCCAGTGCCAGAATCCCGGGAACTGGTCCATCGTATATGATTCTCTCCCCCAGCACAGTCTCAGGAACATCATTAGTTCTTGGCTCATTTGTAAAACAACGAAGGATGAGTGGCCTTCAGACTTCAGATTTCAGGTTACCTCCTTTGCCTCCTCCCTCATGTAGGTGTCTCTCCCTAAACCAACCCTGATCTCCTAATTCAAGGACATTCATACTTTCTAGAAGGTGATCTGGAATCCATCAGGTCATCATCAGGTTAATAATACCAAGCATGTAGTAAATACACAGTCAAAATAAGACATGTTATCCTTTAAAAGAAGAAAATTGTTGTCTTGTTTTCTTTTTAAGGAGCTTATTAAAAGAAAATTCTGAAGCCCTCAATGCATTTTCCAGAACTCCAAAATTGAGGTCTTCCTCCTATTGATTGATTGCATTTGAAAGAAAACAAATCTTTTCCCCAGCTCCAATATCTTTGTCTTGTCCTTCTGGAAAGAAGAGACTCTCCATGGTGAGTTCTAATGACCCTTCAATGCCAAGGGAATAAGGAGAAGCATCTCCCTTGGAAACTTTGGGACACTACTATTGGGTGCCAGGGTAGCCCAAACTTTCCATCAAAGCATCAGACTAGTAAATAATCCCTCACTGGCATCAGGAGTTTTCATGATGGGCCAGGAATAGAGCCTGGATTTTATTCACCATGATCATCTTTCTACTGACCTCTTTATATTCAATTTACTAATCCTGTTTGGGTGGATTTCCACTCTTTTTTTTTTAAGATTTTATTTATTCATGACAGACACAGAGAGAGAGACAGAGAGACAGAGACAGAGAGGCAGAGGGAGAAGCCGACTCCATGCACGGAGCCCAATATGGGACTCGATCCCGGGTCTCCAGGATCACAATCCGGGCCGAAGGTGGCGCTAAACCTCTGGGCCACCGGGGCTACCCCTGGATTTCCACTCTTATCGCCACCATCCCCTGGTTGTTTAGGAGGCTGTGTTATAAAAATCAGGGGTATTGGGTCCTAAGGGAGAGAAAGAGGAAGGGGTTGCTGACCACCAAAGCGTCACTGTGTCTTTGAATTCCAGTAGGAATTTGAGTCAGAACACATCTCATCCCTTCCAGACAGGGTGGGTCCAACATCAGAGACAATCAGCTTTGCCTAGTGGTTGTGGTTTAACCTGTACTTTTTGGGGTGGGGAGGAAATACCAGTGGCTTGCACCCCTGGAAAGTCAAATAGGCTTGAAGGCCAAATGGTTTTCCTGGCCTTGTTGGTACTGGTTATGCCATGGGGCTTTGGGTACTGAAGACAGGCTGACTCTGTAGGGAGCCCAAAATACCATTCATTCCAGAATACTTTACTGATTACCTACTAAGCACAAAGCATTGGATGCCCAGCTGGGGATAGGGGTTACATAAATGAATAACAGAGCGTCTCTTTTTAGTTTGCTTGTAGTCTGGTGACTGGGCAGTGCTGGCCTGACACCTCCCGAAAAGCACCCGTGTCCCAAATGAACCCCTTTCACATGTGGACTCCCTCAGCAATCTGGAGAACATCAGTATCCCCTACTTGGTTTTCCATATTTCAGCCAAGCTCTGAGGGCCTGGATCCAGGACCCAGACAAACAGAGCAGTAGTAGTCAAAATGGAGATTAGAGCCCATAGACGGTGGGATCTTTGAACAGTGGGTCATCCCCTGGAAGTTGCCCCCTGGCCTGGTCCCAGTCATCCCTTCTTTATTCCTCCCAAGCCTACCTTGAAACAGGATAGATAATTAAAGATGTGGTACAATCTCTGCTTTAGAAATGATCAACAAAACACATGGAGATACTGCCTTTTGGGGTGGAGCTGCTTTGGGAAGGATCCCAGTCAATGGTTGGTCCTCAGCCTCCCCTGACTTTCACTGTTAGTAAATTCAGTATAATTCAGCATGTTGCAATTTATATATATATATATATATATATATATATATATACATCTGCACCCAATGGGCGGATGTGCCTGGCTATCTAGGCCCATCTAAGAAGTGTGTCTTGGGCCCTATTGCCAAAACCAGGGTCTTCCTTTGAAAAGTGACTGCTTTCTGGACTCAAAATGATGAGAAGGTTATCTGTGCGTTATTGACAACCATCTTCACATTGAGACCACTCTGTCTCATTCATGGAATCAGAGTGTGCTGCAAAGGCTTCTGCTTTATTTTGAGCAGGCATTATACTGGAACCTTCTTTGCATCCCTAATACTTAAGATCATGCCAGGCACAAAGTAGATGCTCACATTTATTAAACTGAAATAAAATATGTCTGGGCTTGGAAAGAGAAGTCCTGTATCTCAGCTCCCTCTCACTGTTACCATGCCCTGTCCCCAGATTCCTGCAGATTGGGCCACTTTAATTAGTTGGGCTCAGTATGAATTGAATCCAAGTGCATTATCAGGATAGTCATCGCTCTCTCCACTCCATCAATCCTCTGGTCTTCTGTTGTGGGAAAGTCTTTGGAGTTACGCAGCTCAAGATTCAAATTCTTGTTTTAGGGGATACCTGGGTGGCTTAGCAGTTTAGCGCCTGCCTTCTGCCCAGGGTGTGATCCTGGAGTCCTGGCATTGAGTCCCACATCAGGGTCCCTGCATGGAGCCTGCTTCTCCCTCTGCCTGTGTCTCTGCCTCTCTCTCTCTCTCTCTCTCTCTCTCTCTCTCTTTCTCTGTGTCTCTCATGAATAAATAAATAAAATCTTAACAACAACAACAAACCCTAAAAACCAAAACCAAAAAACCAAATCCTTGTTTTACCACTTTCTGGCTAGTCACACCATATCTTTGTGCCTCTATTTTTAATGCAAAGTACCTACTGTGGCCATTAAATGAGATAACATAAGTTAAACCACTTAGTTTATAGCAAGTGGTCAGCAAATACCCATTCATTATGTTTAATCTTTTAAAAGACTCTTCAGAAGTCCTGAGAAGAATGGGTTTCTAACAAGGACCTTTCTGATGGCCTACACAGTTCAGAACTTTTGGAGCAACCAAAAGTTGCATCTGCCTTCACACCTCTAAATTCTTCAGATTCAAATCTGAGCCTTTCTCAGTTGTTTTGTTTTGTTTTTTTAAAATAAGGAGTGTTTCAAACTTGAACCTTTGTGCCCTGTTGGCATTCTCACCTACTATGGAAAATAGTATGGTGGTTTAAAAAATTAAACATAGAATTACTATATGATCCAGCAATTCCACTTTTGAGCATATATCCAAAACAATTAAAAGCAGGGTCTCAAAACGATATTTGTACACTCATGTTCATAGCGGTGTTATTTACGACAGCCAAGAGGTGAAAACAACCCAAATGTCCATCAGCGGATGAACAGATAAACAAAATGTGGTCTACACATACAATAGAATGTGCTGCACGCTACAACGGATGGATTTGAAGAACATTATGTTAAGTACCAGTCACAAAAAAGACAAATACTATACAACTCCACTTATGCGGGGTTTCTAGAGGAGTCAAATTAATAGAGACAATAGAATGGTTGCCAGGGGATTATATGAAAGTGTGTGGTGGTAGTGCATAATAGGTGATCACAAATGTGAGCTCCCCTTCCTTTCCATTAATTCCAGTGGAGGAAAGAAACCCTGCCCAGATGAGTCTACACCAATAAGGGATGCAACCACAGCCAGAGCCAGCTGTCCTGTGTCATGCCCTCTCATGCAGTAACCACTGGCATGGAGGGGGAGCCAAAAAGGCCAGAGTAGTCCTGGGTCTCTGGGGAGGATGCAGGGGGTTGCTGAAAGAATTAAGATGGCTCTTCCCAAATCCTGGGCCTCCCCAGCCCTGCATCTGCCTTTGTGGGTTAAATGAGAAATCCAGGCACTTGGTAAGAAGCTGTGCAAATACCTTCTAGGATGCCACTAACCCATTCAGCAGAAAGACACTCAGAGCTGCCAATGCTTTAGGGAAGATCAGTGAGTGGAAAGAAGGTGGTTTTTCTAAGTCAGGACTGAAGGATTTTGCCTGGTGGAGTGTGAGCTCCGCCCCTGCAGCAGAGCCGAAAAAGCCTCCTCGGTCCCTCTCTTCACAATATTTGATCAGGAATTTGGGGGCGGGACCCTGGCCTGGCACAGACCCGCACACTCTCAGTAGACACTCTGTCTCTGTCTCTCTCTCTCTCTCACACGTTCTCCAACCCAAGGAGGCCAGACAGAGGGACGTGGTCACTCTCTGAAAGGTTCAACTGGAGGTAAGTTTAGTCATTTTACTTAAGTTTTTGTCCCTTGTAGTTCCATAACGGGAGAAAAAGAAAGAGCTCGAGCATGGGGAAAGGGGCTGGCAGCGGGGGAGTCATTCCTCATGCTCCCATCTGGGCCATGACGCCAGGATACTGCAGACAGGCATGGGGGAGGAGGGAATGTGTTAGCCCTGTCCTACAGTTCCTTTCTGGTTGTTGTGGGAAGGGGGGACCTCCACTTCTCAGGCATGAGAGAGGGAAGGACCAGGTATCTAGAGAAGCCAGCTCGGTTCTGCTAATATTCATAATCCCACCACCCCAGCCCTGCAGTGTGTCCAGTAGGCAGACTATGGTATCTGAGTGCTGTTATAGGGGAAGGATGGGGGGGGGGCAGTGAGAGAGAGAGAGAGAGTGTGTGTGTGTGCTGGGATGAAAGGGAGAGAATAAAGAGAAATGTTGAGAATCAACCACATTCAGGGAGCCATGAAGGAGGGTCCAGCCCAGCTGAGAGGATGACTTCTGGTCTGATGTCCTCGACTGTGGTAAGATGCAAAGATCATTCTCCAGAGTGGGGGAATGAGAGAACAGCATTAAATCCTGAGTCAGCTCCCTAAGACTCATGGAGACCAGGAAGGTCTCTACTATTAGGGTGGGCAGGAGGGATTTAAAAGTATACAACCCTGGAGCAACACTGCTAAGAGACAGAGGGGAAAAGAGGCAGAAGCTCCCCACCCAGCTCTCTTAGCAGCCATGGCTCCTAAGGAGAGGCCAAAGTGGGTAGGATGCACAGCCCCTGGAAAGCTAGATCTTGAAGAGGAGGGTGGATCTCGTCTGCCAAGATGCTCAGTCTGGAAGGAAAAATGGAGACAGAGGCTCACTGTGCCAGCCTCCAGACAGCTACCTTGGCCCTGCAGCAGCCTAAGGCTGTTCATGGAAAAATGCGCTGTTGGCAGTGGGCTGCTCCATCTATCTTTCCTCCTGGCCAGAGCCAGGGCCCAGCCAGGGTGCCCAGGCAGTGGGCAGTTGGGTTGGCTTCTCAGAAACACTGTGGGCTCTTTGTCCGAGGCCTGAGGCTGCTTGAGGATGAGCCAGGTGGCTCTCCTCTGCAGCTCAGAGGCTAATGGAATGAAGGAGGCCTATGGGCATCACTTTTAGGAAATAGAGAGGTCTGGGGCCTGGGAGGAACGGTTGCAGAAGGTGACTAGATTGAGTGACACAGTCAGGGTCTTTCCCATCAGTTCATTGGATTTGATGCTGACTTTTAGATTTCTTTCTTCTGTCTCCAGTTGCCAACTTGAGGAGGCCTAATAGCAGTGTGAGGGATATATGTGACCCTTCCAGGACCAAGAAAGGTTCTAAAGTTCCTGCCCAAGGGTGAATCTCTTACCTCTGGAAGGTTCCCATTGCTTACAAGGGCTATCTAGTGCATTGGCTATAGGTATTCAGAGTAGGGTGACCAGTAGGGTCCCTCATCTTCCATATCTTCAGTTTCCCTCCCAGAATCCACCAAACCCACATTTCTCTCCAAGCCTGCCCTGTTCTCATCTCACTAGCATACAAGCTCAAGGCAACAGGTTGCCTGGCACTGGTGGGGAGAGGGGGGTAGTCATGGGGGCTGGTAACCCAGATGTCATCATAGATAGCTCAGAATGAGAGATGCCAGAAGCCCATTCCAAAGCCACATTCTCTTATATATACACAACTTTCTTCAATCCCTATTCCATTTTTCAGCATTCTTCATTCATTTCTCTGGGCTCCACATGGCTCTAGCATAATGTCTATGGTGGAGCATGAGGGGAGCTAACACACTTTAGTAGATACTATACAAGAGATCCCGAGTGCATGGACTCAGATTCCACACACTCAGAACCCATCCTAGAAGACCAGTGTCATACCTGGTGCCAGTGTCCCCAATCTGGAGAGGACTGTAGCTATGACATGAAGACCCTGTGCCAGCCAGGTTGCATGCATAGTCACAAACTGCCAATCAGAGAGTTTTCTCACCCAGCAGACTGCTATGGACACTGGCACTTTGAAAGGTCACCCAAGCCTTGTGGGGACTGCAGTCAGCCCACACCCCTCCCCAGAAACCAGAAACCCCCAGCTTGCCCAAGAGACCAAAAGATCTTCTAGGTATAGTTCAGATCCTCCCCCTTTGAGGTCTCAAAATGCTTCTGGAGGTTTCCCACACACATGGAGAGAACCAGAGAGCTTTTTCCTTGGACTCTCGGAAAATATTATATCCCTGGGGAGTTCAAACTGAATGTGAATTCAGGCCTGAAGAGCACCCACCACCGCCACGGGCATGATTGTGGTGGGCTCACCAGGTCCCCCCACAGAACCTTCAGGTTGCTAGAGGCTCCTAAGGACCTGTCTCTTGAAAGAAATGCAGTGCCCCCCATTCAAATTCCTTCTAGTCTGGAAGGCTCTGTTTCTGTGACTCTATGAGCAAGGTAGAATGCACCTGCCTCTCCCAGGTAGCCACAGTCCAGCCGGATGAAGTGAGCTGAGCCGGTGCTGGGGGAAGGGGAAGGCCTGCAGGAAGTGAGAGCAGGGTCGCCCCGCCCCCCAGGGGCTTACTGCAGATGTTACAGCTGATTGCTCACAGCCCAAGGCTGGCCTCCCCTTCTCCCTGCCTCCCTGCCTCCCTACTGTCTCACTCATGCCTGCTTGCTCTGTTCTCTCTCCCTTCTTGCAGAGAGACAAAATGCAGTGGGCCTCCCTCCTGCTGCTGGCCGGGCTCTGCACCCTGTCCTGGGCCCAGTATGATGAAGACCCCCTTTGGTGGTTCCACTACCTCCGCAGCCAGCAGTCCTCCTATTATGATCCCTATGACCCTTACCCCTATGAGCCCTATGAGCCTTACCCCTACGGGGTGGAGGAAGGCCCTGCCTATGCCTATGGCTCTCCACCCCCGCCAGAGCCCCGAGATTGCCCCCAGGAATGCGACTGTCCACCCAACTTCCCCACAGCCATGTACTGTGACAACCGCAACCTCAAGTATCTGCCCTTCGTCCCTTCCCGCATGAAGTACGTCTACTTCCAGAACAACCAGATCTCGTCTATCCAGGAAGGTGTCTTCGACAATGCCACAGGGCTGCTCTGGATTGCTCTCCACGGCAACCAGATCACCAGTGATAAGGTGGGCAGGAAGATCTTCTCCAAGCTGAGGCACCTGGAGAGGCTATACCTAGACCACAACAACCTGACCCGGATGCCTGGCCCGCTGCCGCGATCGCTGAAGGAGCTCCATCTCGACCACAACCAGATCTCGAGGGTCCCCAACAATGCTCTAGAGGGTCTGGAGAACCTCACAGCATTGTACCTCCAACACAATGAGATCCAGGAGGTGGGCAGTGCAATGAGGGGCCTCCGGTCCCTGATCTTGCTGGATCTGAGTTACAACCACCTGCGGAAGGTGCCTGATGGACTGCCCTCGGCCCTGGAGCAGCTGTACTTGGAGCACAACAATGTCTACTCGGTCCCTGACAGCTACTTCCGGGGGTCGCCCAAGCTGCTGTATGTGCGGCTGTCCCACAACAGTCTCACCAACAATGGCCTGGCCTCTAACACCTTCAACTCCAGCAGTCTCCTGGAGCTTGACCTCTCCTATAACCAGCTGCAGAAGATCCCCCCAGTCAACACCAACTTGGAGAATCTCTACCTCCAAGGCAATAGGATCAATGGTGAGACACTGACAAAGGGGAGTGGGGAGTAGCTGTCAGTTTCATTGGAAAAAAAAAAAAACTATTCTGAGTGCTAGCAGCAATACAAAAGCCATAGACATAGGGAACCAAAGAGCACTGATGAAGCAATCTGCAACCCAAGCTCTCCCCCTGTACAAGAGGTACTAAGTGGCACGTCCCTAGACCAAACAGCAGTGCTGGGAAAATTCAGTAGGGGTTGGGGCGGCCTGGAAGAAGTCATTCCAGAAGAGGTAAGCCTTGAGAGATAAGTGAGTGCGGGCCAAAGGAAAGGGAAAGGGACAAAGCCATTCTAGGGAGTGGAAGTGCCACACAGGAACCAGTCACTGAATAGGTCACCTGTAGGAGACAGCCCCTGTCCCTGTGTGTCTGAGTTGCTCATATGTTGAGGAGCAACAAGAGGGAAGTGTGCAGAGGTTTGGATGAGAGCAGTTCATGGAGAGGGGGATTTAGGACTTCTAGGGTCCATCTTGGGAGGAAGGTGGGCTGTGAAGAAACCAAAGCATTTGTACTACTGATCCAGACGAGGATGAGCTCTCTGCTTCCACATGTGCTTTACGCCTGCCTCCACAGCCCATCTTGTTTTTGGCTGTTTATTTTTTGAACATAACAACTGTTGGATAAGAACATGCGACCTCTGTGAGCTGAATGAGGTACTTGTTCTGGTCAGTTCTCCCTGGAGTACAAGGAACCCCTGGTGGGGGAATAGAGGTTCCCCTAGGGTCACAGGGGCCCGATCACCACAAGCTCCAGGGTGGGAGTGGGGGTAAGAATGCTCAAGGACACAGGCCTCTTGTTTTCCAAGCACTTCCCAGTAAATGCCTACAGGAAGCCAAAGGGCTACCTCTCTGCCTCTTACGACCAAAATATTCATTTCAGATAGAATTATCTAGTTGCTCTTCAGGATCCGTGTCAGGATCTCAGGTTCAGAAAGTGCTTACATTATCCCAGGGCCTCTGATGTTGGAATCCCAGCTCATAGGTCCTGAGGCTTCCTCCAGTCAGCAAAGTACCCCCTTCCTTGGGAAAGGACTCACTACCCACCACTGGCAAAGGGCTTTGTTTTTTGTTGTTGTTGTTGTTGTTTTAATTTTTTTATTTATTTATGATAGTCACACACAGAGAGAGAGAGAGGCAGAGACACAGGCTGAGGGAGAAGCAGGCTCCATGCACCGGGAGCCCCACGTGGGATTCAATCCCGGGTCTCCAGGATCGGGCCCTGGGCCAAAGGCAGGCGCTAAACCGCTGCGCCACCCAGGGATCCCTGGCAAAGGGCTTTTAAGCAGAGCCTGCTGTGAGCAAACCAGCCATCAAAGCCCAGATAGGGACTGAGCTTCCATCCCCTCTCTCTGTCCTTTCGCTCCCCACGCTCAGGGAACAGATTAGTCATTTGGCAACATGCTAATGGGCTGGATAGCCCTGTGAGTGAAGGAGGCACCCAGGCCCAGAGGTCGACAGCAGGGCAGGCGAGGTGAGGAGCTATCTGGTCCTCTGCTTTGAAGCCCAAGACACCATCATGGGCACACGACTGTTTAATCTGTAAAGTGTCTCTCTTTGGGGGAGGGAGGATTCTGCTTTTCCTGAGTAGGCCAGCTCTCTGAGACGTCTCTGAGATGTCGCATGCTACAAAAGGTTTGACATTTACTCGTGGCTGTCCATCATCCCACCCAGAAGTCACTTGCCACCCCACTCTGAATCCAGAAGGACTGCCACATCAGAAATGTCATATTATGTGTCATGTTTGACCCTGAAAATGTGACAGCAAAGAGCAGCTGCCAAGGGAGAGAACCCATTAGTTATTGCCTGATTATATGTAGTCTGAGAAAGTTGGGGTGGGAAGGGCTCCATCACGGCACCCTGTCACCCTCTGCCTTCCGCAGAGCACATCTGCCATTCAGATACAAGCTGCTCCACCCATTCCCAAAGCTCTGTGGAAGATCAAACCACTTCAGTTAAGTGGACCAAGGTCTGATGAGAAAACTCTCCATTAAGTCAAACAACTTAAAAATGTTCAGCGTCTCCCTCAAATCCCTTCTTGTATCATTTAAGCCAAATCCCCTGATCTAGTTATCATTTGGCCTCTCTGCCAGTCTTCTTTTGAGGGAAAATAATACCAATTCTTGCATTTAATTTTTCTTAAAGTAGCAAACTAAGACATGTGAGGTGCTTGGTCTAGGGCTGGGCACATAACTGAAAAGCAGTAGACGGTAGCAGTTACCAGCGTCTTCCTCTCGTTGCCACTTGGAAGTTGACAGGCATAGTTTCCTTTTGTTTTACTCTTTGCATTGCGGAGATGGAGACACTGAAAGGGAGCAGTCATCTCTCCAGGTACCGACCTGCGTGGGTAGAACCCTGAATACAAGCCTTCAACATGTGAGGACCTGGCACCAGGTGTTTCTGGCTGAGAACATGAGGAATACCTCTCTGATTCAGACCATCAGCAGGAAGGACAGTGCCCTGAGTTTGACCCCCCTCTCCCAGGGCATCCTCCCAGTCAGTTGCAGGGAGGGGGGTGGGGGTGGGTGGGACCCAAGTAAATCTGGGGGAGGAGCTACATGGAGGACGGAAACTAAAGGGTGTGCTGGGGAATAAAGCCCTCCCTCCCCCTTCCCTCTTCCATTAGGATCTCCCTCAGATTTTCCAGCCTGGCAGCAGCAAGGGAAGACAGCTCAGAATGTTATTCATTCAAGGGAGCAGGGTGGGTACCCCAGGAGGAATTTGGAAAGACTTATGTCAGTATTTAATCTGGCCTGGAAAATGTCCTCCAGAGTCTCCAAGCAGAAGCCCTGTCCTTTCCCTGAGCTTGGGGGAGACAAACTGGGGGCACCGTGCATCTGCTCTGTGGATAGACTCCACGGCCTTGGTGTGTCTGGCAGTCCTTAGGTATTCCCTGTATTTATAAAAGTGTGCAGGGATCCAGGATTTTAGCAGATGCTCTGAGAGCCCGAGGCTGGGGTAGAGAATCAATCTGGTACAGTCCCCAGTAGATTTGGAAGTGATCTCTAAGCCGAACTACCTGACTTCTCCCCAGCCCATTCCACTCTATCCTTCTCTGTGGCCACCCCAGGTGCACCCCCAGCCTAAGCTCTGCGCCCAATCTGACCATTCAGAGTCCACTTAATCTACTTCCTGGGACCAGAAAGGAGACGTCCAAAAGTGTCCACAAGATCTCCACCACCCCCACCACACCCCACCCCTGTCCCCACGTGTCTCCCTTCCTACCCTTCCCACCCTGCAACTGAATGCTGTCCACGGAAGGGCATTTCCCAGCCTCTCCCCTCTCCCCAGCCCTGTGTCTTATTATTCTTCAGGGCTGGACTTTGTGTCTCTGTTGCAGCACAAGTTAATGGGTTGCAGCCTTGCCGCATTTCCTCTTGGTCAGATCTTGGGAGAGACTGAAAACAAGTGTTAGTGCTATGGCAAAGCACTTTCCTGGCCAGCCTATTTAAGCTCCCCACACTGTCTTCCTCGCGAACTTCCCTTTCACACCCGTAACCACAACCTCATTGAGGCCAGCCATAGTGCTCCCAGGAAAAGAGTCAGAAAACCTTCCTCCTCCAGCTCCTCCCGCTCCTCCTGCTCCTCTTAGTCCTCCCGACCACCCAGGTAGGCTGAGGAATGCCTCCGGTGGAACCAAATGCAAGCTCTGGGTCTGCCCAATGTAGTGACAGCCCTCAAAGTGTATCCCACCAAGACCCAACAGGTGACTTCACCTGGAGCCCCCCCCCCCTCGGGCAGAGGCCAGTTTTCTGGCGGCCCTCAGGCACCCCTTCGTGGTGACTTGCGGCATCCCTGCTGCAGTTTTAGCTGAATTCTTGGTTTGTTCCCTTCAAGTTCCTAACCAGTAGACCCGAGACAGAAGTGGTTGATATGTCCAAGAGGACAACCAGAGGGAAAAGAGAAGGATTTATGTTAAACCCCAAAAGAACTATTTTGTTCATTAAGATCATGTGTTTTGGGGAGAGGGGGAGAACAGCTTCAAAAAATCTTTTGAGATTTAAAAAAGAAGAGGAGGAGTCAGGTAAGCCATCTCACATTAAATATAGGAGGCAAGGGAACTATCTGTTTGACTGTTGAGGTCCACAGCAGCTCTTTTCCAGCTTCTCGGATCTTTGGGCCTTGCTCATTCCTTCGGCAGTACTGAGAATGGAGACATGCACCCCCTCAAAGCTCCTGCACCCAGAGGTACTTGTCTCCCTGCCCAGGCTTTCTCTCTCTCACTTTCTGCCACCCTCTCTATCTGCCAGAGTGTCAGGAGATATTCCAGATCTAAGTCCCTCCACGTCCCCAGGCTTCCTTCTCAGAGAAGTTCAGCAAGCCCTCCTTCTCCAAAGGCCATCAAGTCCTTCGAAGCTGCAACGTTGGTCTCTGACTACCTTCTGCTCCCCACTGCTGCCGGCAGAAGGGAAACCATCGATCGGATCCTGGCTGGAAGGACACTCAAGGACATCCCAGGGTCTGCAGAGCACCGTGCAGATAAAGGCGTGGTGGTTCGGGGGCCGGGGCTGCAGACGCAAGCAGCGATCCCGCTCTGGCCCTGGTGTTACCCCCTCGCGGTGCCGGTGGGCATATGGCCCCACCCAGCCAAGTCCCGCTGCTCCCCCCAGAAGGGTTGAAGCCCCTTCACAGAGGCTGACCTGCCTCCCTGTGGATCCGGGTCTCTGATCCGGGCTTCTGCACCCCTTCCCCCTTGTCCCCACAGAGTTCTCCATCAGCAGCTTCTGCACCGTGGTGGACGTCATGAACTTCTCCAAGCTGCAGGTGCTTCGCCTGGACGGCAACGAGATTAAACGCAGCGCGATGCCGGTGGACGCGCCCCTCTGCCTGCGCCTTGCCAGCCTCATCGAGATCTGAGCGGCCCTTGCATAGGGCACGGGGCCGAGGGCCCCCACGCCCCACTGCATTTGGCTTGATGGTTTGGTTTGGCTTTTGCTGGAAGGTCTGGGACAGATCATGTGACAGAAGTCCACGGGCTCCCTCTGTAGTCTTCTTCCCTGTAGTCAGGGTCAGCTGGGATCAGGGGACAGGCAGCCTTTTACTGAGGGACATGGCTGTGGCTCTCTTTTCAGGACAGACGTGGTGGCAGAGGATGTAATCCCTGGAAATCCCAACCCCAGAAATCTCACTACCCCTAGGTTCTTCCCAATGATCCGGTGTCATGAACTTGACAAGTCCCTTGGGCAACAGCACATAGCGTGCCTTCCCCACAGTCCCTGGCTCTCTCTGTGAGCAGCGCGAGACAGCTCTCCTGCGTGCTGGGCTGGTGGTGCAGTTACTCTGGGCTCCCTCTCAGTGCTCCTCGGAATATATACCTCTTACCCAACTGCCTCCTCCTTACCCTCCTCATCTGCTCAGCCTCGCTCCACAGACTCCTCTTCTGTGCCTTAGGCAGAAGCATGAGAGCCCAAGGCATGTGGGCATGTGTCCCATGGCCTGTGCAAAGAACTCACACTAGTGTCCGGGGGTAGAAGGAACCCAAGAGTCATCTCTACACCCCCCTAACCTCACTCCCTGAAAGCTACCAGGTTGGAAGTCACCAGCGTGATGGCAATATTCAGGGACTGATGAGAGAAGACACAACCAACTTTAGGCTTTGATAAGTGCATAGGGCTGTATTTTAACTGGGCACTGCTTTGAAGGTGGATCAGACTTCTAAACAGGAAAGGCCATATCTTGCTTACATCAGCATCCATAATAGTGGCAAACATCCCTAATCAGCTGAACTGAGGAAGTAGCCCCCAGAGTTCCACCCTTGCCCCAAACACCCTCTGTGTGCCTCCAGCAGCTCTTGACTTTATCCTCCAAGGCACGTGGTTCTCAAAGCATGAGAAAAGTAGTTGGTCCTCTTCTCTTGTCCAAGCAGAAAGGTTTACATCCTGCTGGGAGAAACGGTCTCCAAGCCGCCCTGGGCATGTCTGGCTAGCCCAAAGGGGGATGCTGTGGTTCGGCTGTTATTAATTGATTTGTGCTGAGGCCATAGTTCATAGTGAAAGCTCTGGCTGGAGATGCTTGTTGGGTCTGTGAAGCCTGGACCAGGCAGCCAAATCTGGCCTGTGCTGAGGATGAAACCCTCTGCTTTCACATCTCTGAGCTGCACCCTCATTACTGAAGATGCCTTTTGCTTTATAGCTTTGCTGGAGAGCAATTCATTCTTCCCATGTCTGAAAGGTAATGTTGCCTGGGGCCTAAGCATCCTGCTCCTTTGGGCACCATTGGAATGGAGCCATCTGGGAGGTCAGGGACAGGGTCTGCCTGAGGAGAGCTAGCCCTAGCCTGGCCCCTGCCCAGATGCCATTCCATCACTGATATTTAAGTGAAGGGGAGGACCCCTAGACTATGTTCTTGGCTCCAGACTCTAAAATCCACAAAAGCCAAACCAGCTCATTTCAACAAAGGAGCGCTGATGTGAGGGGCAAGGCTGCCTCTGCTCCAGGCTCTTCAGAAAGCATCTGCATGTGAACACCATCATGCCTCTATAAAGGATCCCTATTACAGGAACAGCATGAGTGGTGGCTAACCTGACCAATAAAGTTATTTTATGATTGCATCTGCAAGAATGGAGTCATTTAAGGCACACACAGAAGGGTTACTTTAAGGGGACCTAATGGGTCACATTGGCCTTGGACTGGACGAACCACCTTTCTCGTCTATTCTGCTTGGGCAGATGTAGCTGGGCGGGGGGTGGGGGGTGGGGGGAGGGTTTTAAAAAAAAAAGGCCCCTGTATGAAATTTCTAGTTAGCAAACTTGGTGTTCTGGAAGTTCTTCCATAAGTCTAGCTTCAATCCCGCTAGTTACACATTTCCTTCCATTTGATCCCCAGGAGAGAAAAAAACAACTGTTTTTTTTTTTTTTTTTTTTTTTTTTCCAGTCATAGTTAACATTTTTCTTCCTCCACCAATCTTGGCTCCTCAAGCCAGGAATTCTGGGGCTGGCGGGTCCTGAGTCTTGTTGCCTTACCTGCTTCTGCCCTCTCCCGGCCACTGTGCAGAACTGAGGGTAGTAGAAGGCGGTGCAGCGCCACTGGGCCAGGACGAGGAAAAGATACAGCCTTCAGCAGAGCGCTCCTTCATTCAATCTCTCCGGAAAGCCTGGAGGTGCCATATGCTTAGCAGATGTCACATGAGTTAGGAGGGCGGACCAGACTGGCGCTTTGGGGACAATCCATTGTTTTCTTTTTTTTAAAGCTTTTTTTTTTAATTTTTATTTATTTATGATAGTCACACACACACAGAGAGAGAGAGAGAGAGGCAGAGACACAGGCAGAGGGAGAAGCAAGCTCCATGCACCGGGAGCCCGACGTGGGATTCGATCCCGGGTCTCCAGGATCGTGCCCTGGGCCAAAGGCAGGCGCTAAACCGCTGCGCCACCCAGGGATCCCAATCCATTGTTTTCTAATAGGAAAATCACTGTGGGATGCCTGGGTGGCTCAGAGGTTGAGTGTCTGCCTTCAGTTCAGGGCAGCACCCCAGGGTCCTGGGATCAAGTCCCACCCATATTGGGCTGCCTGCCGGGACCCTGCTTTTCCCTCTGCCTGTGGCTCTGCTTCTTTCTGTGTCTCTCATGAATAAATAAATAAAATCTTAAAAAAAAATAGGGAAATCCATGCAACTGATGTTTATGGAGCTGAATATATTACTTTCTGAATACATTCACTAATACATTCTGTGAAGTTCTTTGCTGAGACTATTTCAAATGTCACAACTCCATCTTAAGCAGGAGTAAACTAACTTGATTATTCTTCTCTGGAGCAAGAGATAGGCAGGAAGGGGTAGGGAGTGCCGGAGTGTAACAAGATGCAAAGGAAATCACAACTTCAACCACTCTTGAGGGACAGTGGCACACCTGCCTTGGTGACCCAGCACAGAGATGCCTCATGCAGCAGGCGGAGAAACACACAGAGCCAAAGGCTTCTCGTAGCCAAGCTACCAAAGAGAATCCTCTGCCTCTCTCTTTGGCTTCTGAGCAGCCCCTGGGAACAGCCCAGCCAAGGTAGAGCAGCGGGAGAATCCAAAGCCAGGCTTGGCCCTGTTTGCAAGGATCCTCTGGTTTCTAAATCTGATGCTTCTCAAGAGAATAGCAAGAGTGGGTGATCCGTCAGGCTTGGTTGGCTTTCCTTTGGGTCACCATTTGGCCAGTTCTTATTAGGTGCTCGGTACTTTACTTACCTTGCGTCCTTAGCATTCCTAACCATTCTGTGCCATAGGTACTAGTATTTTCACTGTTTTACAGATGGGAAAACTGAGGCTCAGGGAAGCTGAGATCACCCCAAGAGGAAGCGTTGCGGCCAGGATCTAACCTCTGACTTTGGAGGCCGAGAAAATGAAGGCCATTCCACTTTTCAGCGTTAGCACAAGTACAGCCGTCCCAGGCCCCTGTGAAGAAGAGCTGGATTTTACATTACTTCAGTTACAGGAAAAAAACAGTTTACAGCTTAACGCCCTATAAAGCCCCATATTAGAATAAGAACAGAGCCCAAGCCAAGGGCTCTCATATTAGAATGAGAACGGAGCTCAATGCCCTCGAAGGCCCCATATCAAAATGTAAACAGAACTTGAGGAATTGCTCCAGCCCTTCTGGAGGTCCCCGAGACCAGCCCTTAAAATTAAGCTGAAACCCAGCTCGGGGTCCAAGTCCCTGCTCCGCTGTGTCGGGTGCACTTGGACCCAAGCTCGAGCTTGTAAATAAACCCTCGTGTGTTTGCATCGGTGTCGGCTCCTCGGTGGTTTCTCGGATTCGCGATCTTGGGCACAACGTGACCTGTCAATTTTGCTCTCCTGTTTCTCCTGGGCTGGGCCTGAAGTCTCCATGTCACTGGTGTAAGCAGGTCTGCCAGGAACGCAGAGGGGCCGTGGCGGTAGGTGGAGTGCCATAGGGGAAGGAGGGCCATCTGACTTGATTTGTGATGTGCCCGAATCCATCCTGCTAGTACTCACAATCCCTTTATGAGTTTCCCATCTGAAATGTACTCTTCATCTGTAAATAAGGAAGGATCTTTGCGCAGGCAATGTGTGAAAAGCAGGCAGCCCCTGCCTCGCAGGCTTTATTGTCTAGTTTAGAGACAAACATGGCACCAAAAGAATTGTGGGGCGGTGGGAGGGAAGAGGGTTGGTACCATGTAGTTACAAACTGAGAAAGGGCTGTGAAGGACATAAGCACGGGTCTGCATGAGGGTGACCAAGGAGGCTGGCCTAGACTGGCAGTTCAGGGGCAGATAGTAGCTGGATGTAGGGCACCATCATCTAGATGAAGAGGTGGGAGGAGCAGTCCAGGAGCCCTCACAGCCTCTGTCAACTTCCTAAGTGGGAGGAAGCTGACAGCGAAGAGGGCTGGAGCAGCGAACGAGGAAGAGCGATAGGGATGGATATGTGAGTGGGGATCAAACTGCCCACTGCCTCCGTTTCTCTTATTTCAGACCCAAGTACCAGGAAACTTACCAACACCCCAAATCCCCTAAAGGTCCCTAAAGGCGTGCATTATATTTAGTCTCGCAGTTCCGAATTTCAACCACAGGAGGGAAGCATCTCACTTTGCACCATCAGAGCTTTTCCTGAAATCCTTAGGGGCTCCACTTTCTCCCAACCGCTTTGATCCTCTGATCAAAGTCCTCAGCCACACTGGACACTGACCAAAAAAATTAAGGCACCAAAAGTCACTGTTGTAACCAAGGAGCCTTGACCTTTGTGTGCTGGTGACCCCTTTGGCAGGCTAGTGAAACTATGGACCTCTTCTCAAAATGTTTTTAAAGACATACATAGGGTTCCAAGGGAACCCAACTACATTGAATACAGTTATCAAAATAGAAAATACATAAGTTTTTATATAGTATAATGTTTGCATATTAATGCAAAAAATGGCAAGATCTAGCAATAAGTCTAACTACAGTCATTTGGAAGTACTGTTGAGCATAATGGCACTTTGAACTATTTTCAATAAGTAAGATATGACATAAAAATACCTGCAATTTCAGTTGGTGACCAAGCCTCAGTTACCATTAATACCGCAGTTGTTTGTTATCTTTGTAATTGGAAGAAATGTTAAACTTCAGTTAGCTGTGTGAAAAATGAAGATATAGGGACGCCTGAGTGGCTCAATGGTTGAGTATCTGCTTTCCGCTCAGGGCGTGATCCTGGGATCCGGGATTGAGTCCCACATCCGGCTCCCTACTGGGAGCCTGCCTCTCCCTCTGCCTATGTCTCTGCCTCTCTCTCTGTGTCTCTCATGAATAAATAAATGAAATCTTTTTTAAAAAATCAAGATATAGTATTTTCGGGGCACCTGGGTGTCTCACTCGGTTGAGAGTCTGCGTTTGGCTCAGGTCATTATCCCAGGGCTCTGGGATCGAGCCCTGAGCCCTGAGTTGGGCCCCCTGCTCAATTGGGAGTCTGCTTCTCCCTCTCTATCTGCTTCTCCCCAATCCCCACCTCCCACACCCTGCTCATGCTCATGTTCTCTCTGTTTGTGAAAAAAATAAATAAAATCTTTTTTAAAAAAAGATACAGTATTTTCTCATCCAAGTTCCCAGACTCCCTCTAAGTTAAGCCATGGAAAGATAGGCAAAAAGGATGGATCTTAGAAGAAAGGCAAGAAAAGAAAATACGTGTGGTTTTTTCTCTCCATGAGCATAGCTCAATCGAATGTTTATCAAACAAACTCAAACTCAATCTAATCAAAGTCTACAAATGTTTATTGTGTGCAAAACCCCAAGCCATTGAATGTCAATAGTTAGTGCATTCAGGATTTGAAAGAATGGATATAAAGCTCTCCTGGTACTTGCTGTGGAGTTTGGTGAAGATGATAGTAACTAACATGTATTTTGCCTTAGCCTTTGGAAAGACAGTTAATTTGAGGGGCGCCTGGGTGGCTCAGCGGGTTAAGCTTCTGCCTTCAACTCAGTTCATGATCCTGGAACTCTGGAGTTGAGCCTTATGTTGAGCTCCCTGCTGAGGGGGGAGCCTGCTTCTCCCCCTCTCTCTGTTGCTCCCTACCTCTCATGCCCTACTGCTTGTGTGCTCTCTCTTGCTGTCTCTCTCAAATAAATAAATAAAATCTTGTGGGGTTTTTTAAAGATTTTATTTATTTATTTATTCATGAGAGATACAGAGAGAGACAGAGACACAGGCAGAAGGAGAAACAGACTCCTCACAGGGAGCCCAACGTGGGACTCAATCCTAGGACCCTGGGGTCACGCCCTGAGCCAAAGGCAGACAATCAACCACTGAGCCACCCAGGTGCCCCATAAATAAAATCTTAAAAAAAAAAAAAAAAAAAAAAGAATAGTTAATTTGAGAACCCATGACGCAATCTGACTTAAGTGCTGAATGAAGTATATGGACAAATGTCTCCTTATTTGTTTTAAAAGAGGAAGAAATGATTAAGGCTGAAAGGCCAGGAAAGCTGTAGGCACAACCCCTAGCACCTTCTCCCCCCAGGGAGTGGGTGGGCTGGGACGAGCAGTCCTGGGGAGTGTCCACAACTGAAAGTGTGTCATCGAAGCTTCTTCATGCTGAGTGGACCTCAGACAGTCCAGAGGGTCCTCTGGCTCAGAC